ATTTCTAAAGTTGGCCAAGGCAGCCAGTAGGCACACCCATTCTAGTAGTGGTGCTTCTAGTAGGAGGCGTGTGCAACTAAGGAGAATTACCTCATTCAGACTTTTACTTGGGTCACTAGACACACCTGGCCTTGCTGCAATGACGCTGGTGTTTGTAGTGGAGCAAAGGCAGTTCAATACTATAAACTTCTCCTGAGCCACCACACGTACGAGTTCAATGTTCAGTGATAAGATATCAGCACAAGTATAATTTTTTCTAACCCCACTTGCTGCTATGCTTGAAATCACAGGATTCCAAAGGTGAGTTTGTACAGTCTTAAGAATTGTGGTCTAACATTTAATGAGTTCACAGTAACACTTCATGAGACTTCCCAAAGTCTAGGCTGTGTTCCGCAAAACAGTAGTTACTGCCTTAGAAAAGCTGAATAACTCTCCTGAATTGGACTTTCATTTTTCCTTTGCAGAAAATGTTTCCATAAAATCTTACTATTAGGGAGTTCTCCTGTTCTCTGACCTGGTAGATCCTCCTCTGATCAGGTCTTTTTATAGTATGGTACTGTTGGGTCAAAGTATCTCAAGGCTAAGTAATAGTCTAATGTCACTGAAACCTCTAGCAGGATCTTAAAAGCATTAAGTAGAACCCTCAGGTTAGTCTCCAAAGTCTCTTCTATTATCTAGGGTCAAACTGAATTGGAACTATCAAAAATATAAAGAAGACTGTTCATCTAGCAGTTCTGCTTCCACACTGTGTATTAGGAACTACTGGACAGAGGTGGATGAAGGCTACCAGTTTCTTGATGAAATAAGATTTACAGCTACTCAGAAGCAGCTGTTTGCATAAAAACACAGAAGTTCTGAAATCATGCAAAAACCTGCATGCTGTTAGCTGTAATGCTTTGTGATGGTTCCTCTTCTTCCTCTGAAACAAGTCCTGTAACATCCCTAAGTCTCAGGCACCTCCATCTCTCAAAAAGAATTAACACCACCTTGCTATCCTACCAACTCTATGGGAACACTATCATGTGAGGTTCTCAAACACCCTGAGGTATTGAGGCAGTTACTTCTATTGGAGGTACCCAAAATCGGAGGCTTGTAACCAGCACTAGAGGGGGTGGGATGGGAGAGGCACACAGCAGTGAAGAGCTGGAATCTGAAAATCCAAGCTTTGGGGAGGAGCCAGTCATGTTCCTACATCTCACTAGTGCTGCTACTGATTTAGACCTGACAGTGCTGGACTTCTGCCACCTCCCTCCATACCACCACAGAGGGGAGAAAAATCATGGAACTTCCATTGCAAATTCACGATGGTAACAAGCATGGCACAAACTTGGACAGTTTTCCCCTTTGTTGGTTTGTTCCCGTAGTACTACCTTTTACAAGGTTTTACAGTTCCTATTTACTTCTAGGTTTGATTGCCACCCTGTGACTGCTGGGATACCAAACAAAACAAAAAAAAAAAGAAAACAGAGAAGAGTAAGGAATAAATGAAACAGAGAGGATTTGGTTAGTAAAGTACAGGCAGTTCTTTTCCCTTTACATAGCCCGACACTCAAAGTCTTTCATTGCCAGGGTTACAAGCGGCTTTTCACAAGCATTCCTGGTTGGGAATATAGTATTTCTTCCCAGGGACACTATTTTGTTTGTCTTGGCATGCAGACATTGTAATCAAGTCTATATATTACAGGACTGTGCCTTAGCACAAATGGCTGTCATTTCAAACCCTATTTAGGTTTCTTCCTTGCCCAACAAATTATCTAAAAATAGATAATCAAGACCTCATACTTTACATCTACGTCATTCCTTCTGGCTTAAATGAGGTAAGGAATGTAGGGGCTTTTTTCTTCCTCTCTTCTTTCACTGTTTGGATCTTTTGGTAAACAGATAAGCCCCTCTTTCTCCTTCCCCCTCTCTTTTTGTCTTGCTTGTGAACAGCCAACAAGCTACAGAAGCCTTATTATGATTAATGCCTTCTTCCTTTTGCATCTGTCACACTTTTATTTCCTGAGATAAAAGCATTGGAATTGCTGGCTAGATTATCCTTTCCCATCATGTTCTTCTCTAATCATAGTAATTTCTGGTATTTCTGATCCTACATAGTACATTTCAGCTGTACTTGCTTCATCCTTGGAGTCACAGTCTGGGTTAGGGTTCAGAGAGGGTTCTGGAGTACCAAATACTGGAATAGCATCCTGTGAGAACTTGATGGGATGGGGGTGTACTTGGTGGCTCATGAACAGTTAGCACAGAAGGATGCCAAATTCATCAAACGAGGAACTGGGGCATTGCCATAATACATCTGCACCTGACAGGAATTAGTTTCTGAAAGTAGCTTATAGGCAAGTAGGACTAAGGCTCACAACTGACATGCAAGTATTTGTTATGCTTAACATTTCAAGTCTTTCCATTGCTCACTCAGAATAACTTTTGTATTCTCCATTATTTAACCAGAACGCGAGTGGTAGAACAGGACCTAACCTGGTAACATCCCTAAGCCTCAAATTTGCTTTTGCTTTGAGCAGTCATAGCTTCATTGAATTCCACACAGTGTGCAAAAGAGACACAGAAGTGTAGAGACATATATAAGGCGAAATTCTGAACTTGCTTAAATCCACAGGGATTTTCCCAGTGGCTTTCAGAGGATTCAGACTTGAGTAGCATATTGGAAGAATTATTGAAGAGTGGGATGGTCAATAAAAGAAGCTTAGGTGAAGTGAAAAGCAGAGTGAAAAAAGGGTAGACTGAGTAATGGAAAGGTTACCTAGGCCAGAAATTAGTTGGTTTAGTCACACTGAAAGCGAAGCTGTGAATGATGAGAGATGTACTCAGGGTCTCATGCGAGTCAGTTCCTGTTCTGTCCAACTGTTAGCACTCTGATTGAACTATGATAAGCATCTCAGCCATTTCATTAAATGAGGCCTTATTTCATGGACTATCAAAATGGAAATAAAGAATGACAGGCCCCAATATAACACCAGGAGCAGTTAAACAGACCCAACTCTGCACCTGGAAGCTAAGCCACCTCTGGAGTGATGGTATGTCCCCAGGCAGGCCATGAGCACATTCTGTTCCTTTATCTTCTATATACAATAAAAACTATAGGACTTTTGTTTTCCTATAGAAACATAAAAGAAAGAAAATACAGAAAAAAGAAAAAAGAAAAAAAGACTGAATGAGCAGGTATTTTCTTTACATGTTGCTTCAGGGATAAGAAACAGCTCTAAGGATCTTTGTCCTAGTTAAGCAGTGTAAGAAACTACTTCACATTTCCCAGGGAAAGTAAACACCCGAGTCTGACAAGAAGGCTTTTGAGGCCAAACCCTTCAGTCTTTTTTTTTTAATGGCTTGGTCTTTCTTTGTCTAGCTTTCTCTGCCCAGAATTACGTAATCACCAACCCAAACAAAAATGCTTATTCCAACCAGACAGCGCAAAGGAAACATTAAAAGCAGGGAAGACTTCTCCCTTTTGAGCTACTTTATCAGTCCCTATTCTTGCAGTGCCACTGGGCTACTACATATGAGGCATGGTCTCCTTGCAGCAGAGGAAAGCTAGCTGGTTACCAAGAAGTCTGGGAGCTGTATAACTGTGCAGGACCATTATTTTCCCACTGTAACACTGCTCTTCCGATCCCAAGTGCCTGATGTTTCTGGGTAAGATTAACAGCTTCTCTAAGCAGGTATAAAGTCTACCTGGACTGATGTGAGATAGAGTAAAAAGGCATGGGAGATAAATGCTATCACAGACTTCAGACAGCTGTTTGAGAACATACTAAAAACAAACAAACAAAAAAAAACAACAAAAAACCCCCAAACAAATCCAAACAACAACCCCCCCCCCCCCAATTCAGATAAAAATTCTCTCAAGTCATGTATCTTTGTCTATTTCTATCTTACACTGTTTATTTTTCCTGGTAATTCTTAACCACCATGAGAAACTAGCAGCAGCTTTGAAGACTTAACTCTGACTTTTCCCAAAGTTTGGGTATGAGAGATCCTGAAAGCTTGGGCTGAGCTCAGAGAGCTATGGAAAAGCAAGAAAATCTGTCTATATTTGCCTAGGTATCACTTGCACATCTCATTCCGCCCAGTGTTATAAAGTTATAGCATCAGGGCTCTTCTGTACTGCACTTCCAAATCAAGTTAGTCTCCAAGTAAGCATATAAGGTGTGACATTTCCAAATCACTTCTTTTATTGACGCTGAAGTTATTTTTGGCAGAGGAAAGAAAGTTTTCCCTTCCTTCCCACTTTTTTTCCAAGCACACAAGATTATGGCATGTCTGTACAGTAATCTAATGCTCTGTGGGCAATTCAGTAACTTGTCCAGATGGTTTTAAGTAGAGTAATATTAGGATGAAAGCCTCTAAATTTGTGACTTCTGAAAAATAAACCAACTCTGGTAAAAGCTTAATCTAAACCCACTTACTTCACAGGGGAAAGGGGGATAGGCTAACCAGTATTTTAAATACACCGTTGTACTTTTTTCTCCTTGCTTGTAACTCATCCGACAGCCCGCCCCGAGAAGCTGCGCTGCGATAACGAGACACTCACAGAGGGCTGGAAAACGGGCGAGTTACACAGACGCGGCGATACCTGTCCCACACCGATGCTGGGCACCACGTACACACCCGCCTTTCCCGAGCCACCGGGCTCGTCCCGTTAGCCAGCGCCGGGGCAAGCGGGGAAAAGCGCTCCACCTTCTCCCCCCACCGCGAACACTCCAGAGCGCCAGTGGATGGGGGCGTCTCCGCCGGATTGCCCCCGGTTCCCCTTTTTCCCCCGGAGCACCTCCCTTGGGGCTCTACGCCTGCAGGCTGCACAGAGCAGCAGGAGAGGGGAGAGGGGTCAGCCGATCCCCGGGGCAGTAACCGCCTGCCCTGAAAGGAAAGAGGTGCTGAGGGGAGCCCCGAGCCAACCGCTTCGCCGTGAGGGCTGCGACCCCTCAGCGAGCGCTGACAAACCCGTGAAACTCCGCGCGCCCAGCCCTGTCCCGTCGGCGGCTCACCTTGTACTTCATGGCTGCGGAGCGCTACGGAACCAGTACTGCACCCACTACTCCACCACCCGCCGCATCGCCACCGCCTCTCCGCGCCGCGCCGCCCGCCCCGCCGCCAGGCTACCCCGCTCATTTGCATAGCGCCCTCCCATTGGCAACGTTCTGGACGCGGTCGGCCCTCCTCGGCCACGTCCCCTGCCGCCCTCCCGGTCGCGCCGCCTGGGGGCTGCTGTCGCGGCGGCGTGTATCGCGACAGATAGCCGCGCACGGTGCGAGGGCTGCGGCCGTACTTCCGTGATCCAGCGCACCGCCCGTGCCGCTTCGGAGCCGCTCACCTCGAGTTCGCTGCGTGAAACGGACACTCGGAACAAAAAGGCTTCTGTCTGGCCAGCCCAGCCCCGGCTGCTGCCTGCTGTGCTTGGGGGGCCTGGGCTTGACAGGGTTCAAAGCACCCAGGCTCCCGGCGAAGGCCCCCCCCCAAAGCCGCCCCTCGTAGCCTGAGGCCTGCAGGGCTGTTCGGAGGTCCCTGTATAATGCCAAACCCGCCGGGTGCTAGACTTTTTCCATCCATCCTTTCCACAGTTGCTTTTTTCTTGTGCAGCTTTTGGAGGAGTTGAGTGCTTCATGCTGCTTTGTTGTCTTTGCAATTGATTTTTATTCTCATTTGTCCCCAGAATATAATCTGCTCAAATCAAGTTGCTAGGTGCTCACTTTGCCTAGAAAAACCTGGTGTTTAAACAGTGGTTAGGCACCACAGACCAAGGTGGCTTTAATGACCTAGAGATGTCCATTATAAAGAGCAGCTATGGCAAATAAGGATTATTCGGGAGGGTGTGATCATTAACTCTGATATCCTGGGGGCAGGAAAGAGCGGGAAGAACAAATGTGTGATGATCCTCCATGCTGTTTAAGTCAGACTCCTTAATCAGGCATGATTAATACGGTGCACATAATGGGAATCTTTGTGTATAGGGCATACTCCAGCTTGTTAGATGAACAGGAAATAAATTCTCTCCTTTTTGCCTGACTTGCATCTTACCCAACATTTCTAGGTCACAGATGGACTCAAGACTATTTCTAGTGGCCTAAGGAAAAACAGCAAAGTATAATCTTGTACTACCAGATTACAAGCATAACTTCATTCCATCGTACAGTGATATCCTTAAATTCTCACGTGACTAACTCTCTACAGAGAGATCCTATTGCTAAAATGGCTTCATGGCGTCTAAGGAATGTCATACTTTTAATCTGTAATCTCCTTCATTCTCTAGTTCCAGCATAAAATATGTGGTTATCTATACAAATTTACTAAATGAGTGCAAAGATGCATTTTTTTTCCTGTATCACCTTCTTGACTGCAGTTACCCCAATAGCTCATTGGTATAAGTTCCCAACAGTACAAAAGGTGTGTTGGTGGGAAAAGTGAGCTTCTGCTTTCTGCAGTTCAGAGCGTGCCGCTGTGACTGGGCTCCCTGTGCAGTGCCATTGCTTCACTTGCTGTAACCCCTTTCAGGTTTTCTCCTGGGTTTTCTTTCCTTTTTTTTGTTGTTGCTGTTGATTCTTCTGATTTTTCCGTGAAGTTACATCGAAAGAGGTAATATTTTATATGTGATGGGTTTGGGGCAGTGTTAAGCACAGCATCAAAATAAATTTGAGTAGTTCAAAGAGGGCAAAGATCATTTGTATTCTGTGTCCTTAGATACTGTATTTAAGACGGTAATTCTTCCAGTGATTATGTATAATCCTACTGTAAGGAGAGCGTAAAACTCTTTGGATTGTTTCTTAACTGTAGGGTTTGACCTTTGATTTTCTTCTTGCTTGTTTTTGTCCAAGGATAAAAATTTCTTCTGGGAGGAGAAAATTCTTCCCGAGTACAGAGGATGCAATGGCTGAAATGTTAGCATGGTATTGGGCTAGCATCTAGGTCCCGTTCCCTGATTAAGTTCTGTATAATCTCTATGTGGCACCATAGGCATGAAGATAAATGCATTAAAGATTGCAAAACCACATTAATAAGACCCGGTTAAGTATCAGAGACAAAAATAAGAAAAGTAGAATCATATTTCTGACTTCACCTATATCTAAATGCAGATTGCATCTGGTTTCCAGTTATCCTGCCAATACTGATACTTTTCATGTAACTGGTGCTTTTCCTTTTTCAGAATGCCTTTACAGTCACATTATAAAACCTAAGCACATTTGAGAAGCTGTGCCTTCTGCTTTTGTTCTAGCTTTCATTGCTTTTAATGTATGTAAAATGTCCCTGACTGATCTTAATGTCAGGCAACAGATGTGTATAAAATTCTAATTGGGTTGTTCTTTTCTTTATATATTGTTTTGCCTTTATCGCTCTCCATAACTCATATTAAAAACTTTCAATTAGATGTCACTGGTATAACACTTTAGGCACAAGAACACTAAGTTTATTGGTGCTGATAACTATACTTTACAATTATGAAGAAGCAGGTACAAGAGTTGTTATTTTACAGGGAGAAAAAGAGATTGGCATTGCACACTGCCTCTTCAGTGAAATCCCACTGCTCATTTTATTCACACACCCTTCCTGTCTCCTACCTGCTCTGTTTACCCACTTTGGCTTTCTTTGCACTTTGAGGGGTTTTTGATTTCCCTAAGGGTGAAATGTTCCCTGTTAGTACAACACTTCTGGTAGAGCTAGCAGCGTGGTGGAGCTCTGCAAATGTCACAAATGTCAGGAATTAGATATACCTTGAAAGAGAGATTTGTAAATATGATCCTGTAACCTTAACTCACTGATATAAGAAGTCAGGACTGTGTCACGCACGTCTGTGGTTAGCGCAGGCACTTTGCTTTCCTTGATGATCTTGTCGACTGTTGTCCTTTACTATTTAATACTGTATTGCAGGCATAGTCTAGGAAAGTTTTGAGTTGGTTGTTTTGGATAATGAGCTCAGTTATACAATGGACCATGCTTATGAGGAAGCCACGACCTGGCACTACTGAAGTCTGTGTTGTAGAGGCAACTTGAGCTGTGTTGCCAGGATTTATAACTGCAGGGTCCTATTGAAGTTCTCAGGAGGGTAATTCATGTAATGTGTCTTTTTGCTTCACAGCACAGCAATGGCTTGATTCACTGTCTCATATTTTATGCTGCTACAATTCTAGCAGAGTCGCAAAGGGTTTTGTGACTTTGTCTTGTGCCTGCATAAGTGGCTTTTGTTTGTTTCTTTGCTTTTGCCAGAAGCAATTAATATTACTCTCTGCTCATTTGGACAACCTACTGCTTGTCTCACACTCCCCTGCACCATCCTGGTGAGCTTGCGTTGTTTCTACCTGCACCACTGGGCTGTGTCTTCCTGGTGCCCTCCTGATTGGGGTTTTGGAGGATTGCAGCAGGTAAAATGGTAAGGCAGCCAAAGGGACTGCTTGTCAGCAGATCACCAGCCACAGCCCTCAGCACACAATGTGGAACAGAGCTGTCAGCCGGGCTGGGAAGGGAATACCTATTGAAGCAAATCAGCCAGCTATCACCCTGTGACAACTGATAGGAGAAGAACATGAGACAGATACCGAGCTCTGAAAGGTTACTCAAACAAAAATCCCTTGTTCCTGTTTCCCCATGACACAACCTGAGAAAAGAGAGACACAGCAGTGTCTCCCTCACAGCTGAGAGAGTCTTTTCAGGAAGGGTCTATGAGCTCTGTGTTTGGGAAACACGGAGATCTCTTCCCCCCCCCCCCCCGCACAAAGCCCTAACTATCTTGCGTGGCATCTGCATCTCTTCTTGCTGTGATGGTGGCCAGGGGATTAGGTTTAAAATTAATTTAGTTACAGTGCCATTGCTCTTTACGATCAGAGGTGTCGTAATTAGCCTTAGTCTTGCCGACGCTTACAACACTACCTGGACTGGTTCAGCCAGCATGCAGTGGACAAAATTTCTTCAATATAGAACAGTTTTACACACAGTCTGAGTGGTGGAATTTGCTTGCTTGGACAAATCTGTTAAAAAAGTTGAAACACTGCTGTTTCCTAAAAGGATCCTTAACAAAAATTCACCACTGATGTGGGCAGGTTTCTGTCTCTGTCTGCACAGAAAGGCGCCTGTCCCACCTCAGGAGATATGAGAAAAAGATTTCATTCTCACCCAAAGAAGGGAATATTTTGCATTTCAGCAAACCAAAACAAAGTCTGCTCTGTTTTTCTTTGACCAGTGATGGAAATCTTTTCAAGCAAGCTGACTATTCCATTTAACAGTAACAGAAGTCTGTCCTGTCAGACAGAGGGGTAGGTAGGGATCGCTGTAGTGCTTAGGTTTAAAGGCAAGGTTCAAACTGTGAGGACAAAAATTGTTAATAGAAGTATCTTGTTTACGTTGATGGTCCTTTGCCTTTCTACCTAAGATGCTTTTTAACTACAGGACTAGTTCACTTGCCTTGCTCTATAATTCAACTTTTCCTTTAATAGGTATGAACTAATCTTACAGGCATCCCACCTCCTTTCACAATAAAGCACAAAGCTGTTCACATTCTAAAGAGGGGCATTCTATGCAATGTTTCTTCAGGAATCGCTCATTTAACTTTGCAAGTCAACCATCAAGGCCCTGTTTAGTGACCCTCCTTCAGAAAAAAGGAATAAATACAGCTCCCTCTATCCTCTCTGTTTTGCTTCAAATGCCAGCCAGAAAGAAACATACTGGTGTCCTCCCACCCAAAAGGTTTTGAAAGTGAATCCAGCCTTTGTTAGCTTGAGAAATCATGGAAGGCAGTTAGAGTTCACATATTCTGGGACTGGCTATCACTAAGGGACCAGCCTGACTGGGTGAATAAAATCTGAAAAGTCTGGTCAGTTAAAAAAAAAAAAAGGAAAAAAAAATAGGAAAAAGGAAAATAAATACTAGTGCAAATTTAGTTTGTTATGAAAAGCAGGTGGTTACCACCTCAGGGGAAAATGAACATAGGAAGGGGAAACAGTGGATTCACTATTAAACAGTATGAGGGACCCATCTCACTGGATAAAAGAATGTGAAATCAAAATGAAGTAAATTTATCTCTGAGCCAGTGCTAACTGCAGATGAGGATGGAAAAGAATTGCTTTTCCAAGTCCATGCAGAACAGCAGCTCCCCAGCCATCTGGCTGTTGTAGAGCACACAGGTCCATGGGACTTC